GGGCCCGCCGCGACACGAAGCAGGCGCGCACAGCTCTAGACACGTTTCTATTTTATTATGGCAAAGGTGAAAAAGCCACCTCGGCCCAACAGGCAACCAGTAAAATTTATCCCAAAAATAACTCGGTACAAAACAGGTCTGCTTCAGAATTAAAAAAAACCTTTACATGAGTTTAAAACCTATTCCAAAACATAAAAGTAAAACAAATTCCGTCCTTGATATTAGTAGCCACAGTCGCACACCCCTCCCTCTGGAGAGCATGGAATGAGATGTCTGGAGTCCGTTTCCATGCGCCGCCGCTCGCTGCTTTAGCTGGTGTCCATCTGCAAGGCAAGAACAGCGCCGTCAGGCGTCGACCGGGCGCGCGCAGCCCAGGCTCGCCGCGAGAACCACGCTCCAGTCGAACGAGGAGCTTCATGTCTTGAGCAAAATATCCCTTGACTTTCTATTCTAGAGACAGCCCAGCTCAAGCAAACTATTGTAACTCGCTGGCTTTACTGGATAGAGATGCACAGATTAAAATTCAAATTTGTTTAAAGCACCAAAATGCTTGCTAGGCCATACTTTTTGATCAGAGCTAAACTACAGCACTTTGACATGCTTAGATAAGACTATGGGCCCCCTACACCACACTTCCTGTTCCTCCAAGTGTTTTGGTTTTTTTTTCCCCAACATTACTATTTATTTATCACTAATTCCAGAGAAGACTGCTCTAAAGCACAGCACAGTTCCATGTCAATTTTTCTGGCTTCTGTCATACTGCTGCCTCAATTTTATCCCATGCCTACAGAGACCAGCAAGATTCAGATTACAATACACACGCACTTAACCTTGATTCCCTGTCAACAAATTAACCTTGCTGTGGCACAAAGACATCTGAGCCAGTTGGGAATGAAGTGCTCTTCATTCAGCTCTGCACTTTATGGACTTGTATACCATGAACAGCATCACTAATCTCTTCTCTGTTAGCATCAAATGTCATTATCTCACATATGTTTTTTACTTTTGTTTTTCATTTTTTCCAGCCTATTATCTCTGTTATTTTGTTATGCAGCTATTGTTCATACATTGCTATTTCAGCTATAAAAGGGTCCAGCCTACATGGGCCCTAGACAGTCTGGGGAAGCTGGAAAAGTGGCTATTTCTCAACGATGGGTAAGGAAAAGCTGTAGATAAAGTGTTTTGGAAAGTTAAATTAACTGCAGGAACAAGGCATTGCTCAGCTTTAGAGGGAGACTATTCAGTCCAATGATCCGAGAAGTGATCCCTTTCCTGCCAGCCCTGGGCCGTCAATGTTTCCCAGCACCAGATCCAGCAGGGTGCACCGTTCTGCAAGTACGAGCAGCACTTACCCTGGCATTGTAAGCATCCAGCTGTGCATCTAGTTCTTCTGCAGAGAGTTGCTGTTTGGAAGTTCTTCCAGCTCCTCTGCCTCTCCCTCTGCTCCCACCACGACTACCTCGCCTGTTGCCACCTCCACCACCAAATCCTCCTGTACCACCACGGTTTCTGGTCATGCCACCTCTGTTTACACTGTGATTTTTAAAAAGCAACCGTTACAGTGCATTCTCGTTAACCCAGACAGCCACTCAGAAGTTTGTAGAATGGAAGATGGATCCATGCTTCCTATACAGAGGGAGGCTATGCAAATTGGGAGGCTATCCCCATGCTGACCAGGCACAGCAACTCATGTGGAAGTACAGCATCTCACCTCTGTGCTGGTCTCCTCTGTGTGTCTATCTGTGACGTAACCAGCTGAATGTTCATGGGGCGCCCTAGAAGAAAAGAAGCCAGTAAGTCCATGCAGGGGGATATAGGGACCTGGACTCCTCCAGTTGTCAAGTGAAAAACACCACAGAAACAGCCAAGCAGACTCACCATCCAAGGGGACTCCATTGTACTGCTTCATAGCTTTCAGAGCATCTGCCTTTCTTTCAAAATGCACATCTGCTGTCCCTAGACTGCGGCCAGATCTGTCATAGTGCACTGCTGCCTTCTTCAAGGTCCCAAACTCTGCAAAGAGTTCCTGAGAAACAGAGGGAGAAGAGTGAGCACGCTTCAATCCATGCTGCTAAGGCAGAACGGCCAAGACAAAGCACTGGCCGTTTCCTAGATACACCAACTTTCAGCAAGTACAGGTGCTTTTCAGAACGTCACTGACAACTCAGAAGAAGAATCTCTGAAAGAGCAAACATAAGCCGAACAGAAGAACTTCAGGAAGCGGCTACACACAGCAAAAGCAAGTAAGACACTACTTGCATACTTGGGTGTGTGCATACAGCCAGTGGAGCAGGGTCAAGGGGTGTTGACCTGCCGCTTCTGCCAGGGAAGCTGCACGTCTTTGTGCCGAGACTACATGTACAGGGCTGCTATTCAAAAATAATCCAGACCCTAAACCATTTCACAGAGGAAGAATGATCTTTATTTCTATGAATGCAGTGATTCACAAGGTGATCATAGTTTCTATGTGCTGGACTTCTCTTATAAAATCTTTGCTAGACCAGTTACAGTTTAAAAAAACCAATCCTGTCATCTTGGAGCTTAAGAACATATCCCAAAAACTGAGCTTAGGAGGAGTCCTCTACTGAAGTATGCCCTCTTGTTACTCACTGTCTTGAAGGGTGGAAACGAGCAGAGGCAGCAAGAGAGCCACAAATTTTGTTTTGCGCGGGTGCTACTTTTGGTAAATCAACTAGGGACATCTCATAGCTTTGTAAGTTTCTATTATAGCTAGTGCCTCGAAAGCTCAAAATCTACACCAGAATTGTCGGATGTCCAAAGGGAGACTGCCTGCCACCTTTCATGTTATCCGCTGCAACGCCTGAACATTATTCCAATATTTCCAGTATTTGAAAAGAGCAACACAGATATTCTTTTACTTCCTAAGCAAACAGCACTCCAGGCAAGATTGCAGGCCAGCTTCTACCTTGTATTCATTTAACTGACGTGCACGTTAACACAACACTCTGTACAAGCCATCTGGAATACGGAGCAGCACACACAAAGAGCTGCTCAACAACGTCTTAAGGAACAGCCTCTCTCACTGTGCTACAGAAAACCCTGGTTCTCCATGAGCAGCAGTGGTGGGTCGGGGTATGACACTATATATGTCTTCTCCAAGAGCTTGTTTTAGGTTCCTTCCAGTCACCCATTCCTGGCAATACAACTCCCGGGCTACCTTGTACCTCATTAATGACCCGATTAGCATAAAAACAAGGAAACTAGCCAGCACAGGAAGTGCTAAATTATGAGGCAGTAGTAACAAATAGGTACAAGCCTGTTAAGTCAGCCTTGCTGCTAAATAAAACACATGTGGAACTTCATCAGCACCTATAGTCCAAACCAACAGCGAGAAAGACATACCCATCTGCCACACACACACACCCCCCTACAAAAACTAGTTGAACTGAAGCAGCTTCACAGACTCACGTTTTATACACGAGGGCCTGACTACAGTAAACAAGGAACTTATTTCAACCAAAGCTAACTTTAAATAGGAAAAAAGAAGTGGCCTTAAGTGCATTACCCAAACAAACGTCAACTCGGTGACCTGAAAAAAACACTCGCTCTCAATTTTCCAGACGTAGCCAGCTTAACTTACAAGGTAACTGAAACGAACTAACAGATGAAAAAGCGTTTATTTTCTGGCGGGAGACATAGGGACCAAAAGCCAACTTAAAGTGAAGTGTTTTGCAGTGTAACCTAACTAGCACAGCCCCCTAGTGGGGATGCACCTTACATTTGCAAACGTTTGTGGCTGTACAGTTTACTGCCCATACATTACAGCACCCTTATAGCTAGGTGGGTCCACCAATTTCAATCTCCGTTCTGATCAATTCAGCCATAAAGACAAATCACACCATATACCTGACTTAAAGCATCTGGAAGATTTTTAACCAAAGCAGAGCTGAAACCACGACATGGCAACTCAGCTAGAAAATTGAACAACTGTAAGAAATACAAGGTAATTATAGATATTACAACGTAAGGGGGAATGTCCCCCCCGACAAATAAGCCTTCTTAATTTCACTGATCGATGCTGACATAGGAATACTTTCACGCTTAATAGAACGTGGCTTTAGAACAAAGAAACTATGTAAACAAGTCCCATAAAAACAAAGCAAATTGATGTACGTATAGTATAGTTACTGAATTCACAGGGAAATACAACTTGTGTTTACATAGTTTATACAAAGTTCTCAAGCCACAGATGGATTCAGGCAAACACCAGTATATTTTCCCACACAAACATTCTTGCTAATGCTAATAGCCGCAGATCAGAAGAGGCCAGCAGCTTCTTTGAATTGCAGTTACCTTCACATCCTCAGAACAACTGCACAAGAAATACTCATGGCACAAATACAACCACAAACCTAGAGTTAAAGGATTTGGAGATCTCCCCTCCGGGCCACAGAAAGCAGCGGGACCTCAAGAGCTAC